ATGGTATTTGGCATGCACACTACACTGCTCTATTGATATAAATTTGATGTGTTTATTAAATGTTTTATTTCTTAAAATTTAATGTCCATGAGAAGTGTTAACACTAACCACTAAGCATATGATTGTTAGTATAAAAGCTATTTGAATGCCTCAGCCATTTGAGCATGGTTAAATGGTAAAGATCTGTTTTTTGCATTGGGTTTTTCGTTTAACTGTTATTACTTTGTCTACAAATTTTTCTTTTGAAGGGGTTGTGTGTTGAATTGAATTGAATTTGGATTTTGAAAGAGTTAATGGTGGGGGTGTAATTGTAAAATTAAAACTATAGTGAACAATACGGATACTCATGGGTCCACCCGTACCCGCATAGGGTAGGGTACAGGTCTAACATTTTAGGCCTGTTTAGAACCGACCTATTTTGGGCCCGTATCCGTTGGGCTCGACTTGTACCCACCTAGCCCGCCCATTTTGCTAGGTCTAATCTTAGTACATACATGTTCGACCTGTTTTTGCTTGCTATTGCTATAAGTCTAACCATCATCATGGGCAATGGTGAGAGAGTCACTAAATAAGAAGGACTCAATTGAAATTATTAATTTATGGTGTCCATTTTGTAATGTCTCTAGCCTAATTTAACAAAGATGATAATAAAATTTGCGTACAAGTTAATACATAAACAAGGATATATAGGATTAGTTTGGGATTATTTTAGCTTTATGTAGGATTAGTTTGGGATTATTTTAGCTTTAATTTTAATAAGCTTTTATTCAATTTCAAAATAATTTATAATGTGTTAGGTAAATTAAAGCTTAAAGTTGCTTTGATTTTTAAAAACTTTATATGTGTTTGGTAAATTTTATTTGTAAACTGCCTTTATAGTTATAATGACAAAAAATGACATAGTTTACTTATCAAAGTATTGTGTAATTATCAAATTGTATTTTGATTTAATAAATATTGAAAAGAATTTACGTTAAATAAATTTATTTTAAAAAAATGAACTAAATAGAAATTGTCGTCAGTGGTCAAGCCGTCGAGAGTAGGTGGCAGTCACCAACGACACACATTCGTCGTCATAACCAATCCTATGAACTAGCGAGGCCAGTTGATCGTAATCTCAATGGATCACCAGATTCCGACGGGTCAATTTGCCATAGAAGATGATGAAACATTTGGCTGATTACTGTGCCTAAACGACGTATCAAAATATGATGGACTGGATTTTGACACGTGCGACAGTAGCAGTCGCCGGCCACCACCACGGTCAATGGCCTACACCACCCTGTCAGTCCAACTTTTATTTATTTCATACTGATTATTAAATTATGTATTTAATGAATTCAATGTTTACTTGACTTCATNTATTTGATTAAATAAATGCTTAATTTTATTACATTAGTATAATTTACAAAATAATTATTATTTAATAAAAATATCATTCCCAATATTTAATTAATATATACAAAAATAATGAGTGAAATAGATTGATTATTGATTATTACAATAAAAGAAAAAAAACAGAACATTCTAAAGAGTATTCTTTTTGGTGTAATATTTGGTGTTGTGGGTTGGAGATGAAATAGTATTTTGCACCAAAATTTGCACCAATTTGGTGTAATTTTGCACCTAATTGGTGCAATGGGTTGGAGATGGTCTAAACGAAGCATCAAAATATGATGGATTGGATTTTGACACATGCGACAGTAGCAGCCGTCGGCCACCACCACGGTCAATGGCCTACACCACCCTGTCAGTCCAACTTTTATTTATTTCATACTGATTATTAAATTATGTATTTAATGAATTCAATGTTTACTTGACTTCATTTTGTAAGTAAAACAATAACTTTGGTATATTTGTCATCTTACACATGCAAAATCAACTTTGAAAAGAATTTGGTTTTCAAAAACTACTCCTTCTAACTTTCATAATCCTTTTATAAATCTGATTATAACATAATTAGCTTAAAATTTAATGAGATTTAAAAGTTATTTACCAAACATTTTTATTATTGTAATTTAAGAATTAACTTATCAAGCTTATTAATTCCAAAGATACTATAATTTCAAACGCACGCATAATATGCATGGTTGTCTTTTTGTACAATGTTATAAATAAAATTCATGAAGATTTTATTTATTTATTTATTTTTGATAATCGAGGTGTTCCAACCAACTTACACGCACCTCAACTAATCATCGGGGTCTATTGAACATCTTATAAACCCAATAGGCCAAGTAAGTCATAAATGTAGTAGGTGACTACTTTGCGGGGCTCGAACATAAGACCTCTAGATAACCCACCTAGATGGCCAAAGTTTTGTCATCCGGCCATAAGACTAGTGGTGAATACCTGAAGATTTAACATGTGTTTCTAGATGATATATTATGTTTCTTACAAACCCCCACATAGATTTAATTGGTGAAGCTCATTGTGATGAGTAAGAAGCATATGAATGTGTTTTTTATATTGAATGATTAGACTAATTCATGTTTTAGTGCTTTGATCCATTTAAATCAATCTAAGAACTATGGTTTTAAAACCCGGCCCGGTTGGCTCAACCGGTTGAACTAGGAATCGGTGATCGAGTTGGATTCGTTCGACTAAAAAACTGAAATATTAAATGTCCCAGCTTGAACCGTAGTTGGATCAGATTTTTTATTACGAACTGGCAGTCCAACCGGTTCGACCTAGTGGTTGAATCACATTTTTATTATTATTTTATATGTCATGCTGACATCAGCATGATGACATCATGATTCGTTCCAACGGTTGAATTGGTTCGACTAGCCAACCCGGTGACCTGACCAGGTCACTTTCCAGGTTGAGTTTTAAAACCTTGGTAAGAATTGAAGCTCAAAACTGTTCCAAATAATATTTCTACTTAAGCATATGATTATTCAAAGTTACAGTCACAATTTGACATCACTTATTAATTGCAATCATGGAAAGCATATTGGAATCATGAGCACATTTACCTTGTCTCAAAGACTTTTTGATGTTATAAGATGTAGCTTTAACACAATGTAATGAAATTTTTTGACGCCAATCAGTTAATGTAAGTTTAGTGATTAATCCGATCTCCCCTAATGAGAAAGAAAGTAAGAGGTTGAAAAAAAAAACAAAATTTAGGAAAGGTTTTGCATGAGAAGTATCAGTACATATTTTCACATTAAATTCTTGTCAAAGAACAAGGAATATGCCACTGTTTTTAGCATTGTCACTTGGTATATATGCCTTGCTATTGGGTGGAAAATACTTGTTAAGAATACTTGATGCGTCACATCTTAAAAATTTGTTCAAACTGAAGGGTTGAGATATGGTATTGATGATAGTTTTGAGAGTTGTGATAATTTTATGCATTTAGAGTTCATTACATGTACCTTTCTTTCATGGGTTGTTTGTGAAATATGCTTGTTAACTTTGTGCATATGGAAATAGTTGAAAGTTCAACAATTAAACTCATTTTTCAAAGTAAAATTGGATGGGAAAATCAAGATTCATGCAAGTCCCTCTTTCATTATGAAGTTTGCTCATAGTTTACCCATCATGCAAGTCCCTCTGTCATTATGAAGTTTGCTCATAGTTTACCTATTAGTTATTCAAAGAAGTAAATTTAATTAAAGTCAGATTTGCTAGATTTACAAGAACTAGAAATGAGTTCATTGGTTTTTTTAGATCAACAAGCCATGGATCTTTCCCATATTAACTATTTCTTGAATGTTAATAGTTTTGTTTAGGTGAACTGGCTATCAAATTCACAAACCCAACATTACAGCTTTACTATTCTACTATTCTGCTATGTACACATGCATACCCAAATTTGATTATGCATGCATGCCCAATTTTTATGCTTTAGCAAGCTTTTGTTAACATTTAAAATCACAAAAATCTTAGAGATTGAATGCCTATTGACATCTCTCAAGAAATTCTAATGCATATAGTCTTATTTGTAACTCAAGAGCTTCCAAAGAATTCAATAAAGTTAGGTTAGGATATTTTACCTTGCATTTCTACACAATTAATTATCTTAGAAAAGAAAGATACCCTTTTATAACATAGATGTTGTATATGGTAATTTTGACACCAGCACGAGTTGTACATACTAAATATTATGCAAGAGACTACATAATTGTATGTGATACTATGTACAAGAGACTTTCATATATTTGAAGTAGTATTGTTTTTATTCAAATCAATACTATTAGTGTTAAATTTTAACATGTGTTTCTTTATAATTATTTTTTCCGTCGTTAATCGAGTGTATTATGTATATATAACATGTTATAAAAAGATTGATTATAATTCTAGTTTTGATTTTCTGCAAATGAGATACATAGCACACATATTGAACATGCTTTGAATCTTAGCCATAAGAACATGTTCAACTTCAACAACATTTACATCAATAGTTTTCCAACCAAATCTTATCGGATTTTTGTAATTCTTGAACCATTGAATTCCTTTGTTTACCTACTATCAGAAGGAACCAAAAAAAATTGAATTGGTTTTGAGCATTCTTCTAAAATTCATTAAAACCTCAATAACATCAACCTAAACCCTAGTTTTGACCATTGCAGCTTCAAAATCAAATATCTCCTAAATTACAAAACTAAATGACACGTTCAAATATTCATTAGAAAGCTTATAAAAATATCTTTCAAATAAGAAAAATTTCAGAAAAATCCAATTAGTATAGCTCCATTTATGCCCAGATCAATCAAGGCTAAAAGCACACCTAAACTAACCAAAACACCCATAACTCTCATCCCTCAAATCCATTTCATTTCTATTCCACATTTTACAACCGTAGATAGCGCCTTATCCAAGGGTCCACATTTAAACTTGGCAAAGGCAGCGATCCGTGTCTTAGTCCTTTCAACCAATCAGCGTTCAGCTTTTGGATACCGTCTCTCTCACACTGGACTATTTAAATGCCTTGGTTTTCATCACTTTGTTCTCACACAAAAACGAAATTAAAATTACCAGTTCACCACCACCATCGTTCTTAGATCCAATCTTTAATCTTGAATTCTCTTCAATTCCATTCTAAATGGCCACTGAAGAGCCCACTGTCGCCATGGAATCCGCTCCCGAGCCGGCTTCCGAACCGGCCGACGAGAAACCGGCCAGCAAATCCTCCAAAGCCAAGGCTGCTAAAGAAGCCAAAGCTAAGAAACCAGCTGCTGCTAGGAAGCCTAGAGGCCCTCCCTCTCATCCTCCTTATGAAGAGGTATCATTTGTTGTTATTGTTATTATGTTTTCAGATTTGAATTTTGATCTTTAGATCTGACGTGGCGTTTGTTTGTTGTTTGGTTTCAGATGATCAAGGACGCGATTGTGACTTTGAAAGAGAAGACTGGTTCCAGTCAGTATGCGATTACTAAGTTTATTGAAGAGAAGCAGAAACATCTGCCGTCGAACTTTAAGAAGCTTTTGCTTTTTCATTTGAAGAAGCTTGTGGCTTCTGGAAAGCTCGTGAAGGTAAAAGGCTCGTTTAAGCTTCCGCCAGCTAGGGCCGCCGCTCCCAAGCCGGCTCCGGCGGCTGCTCCGGCGAAGAAGAAGAAGCCGGCTCCTGCTGCCAAAACCAAGGCTAAAACTCCTGCTGCTAAGCCTAAGGAAACCAAGACTACTAAGGCAGCGGCTAAAGCTCCTGCTAAGGCTAAGCCTGCTGCTAAGCCGAAAGCAAAGCCGGCTGCCAAGACCAAGGCGGTGACTGCCAAGCCAAAGGCTGCTCCCGCTAAAGCTAAGCCTGCTGCCAAGCCGAAAGCTGCGGCAGCGGCTAAGCCGAAGGCTGCTCCAAAGCCAAAGGTTGCAGCGAAGCCTGCTAAGGCTTCGAGAACCTCGACTAGGACTTCTCCAGGAAAGAGGTTGGCTGCGGCTCCCAAGCCGGCTCCGAAGAAAGCTCCGACTCCGAAGAAGGCGCCGGCAAAGAGCGTGAAGCCGAAGAGCGTAAAGTCACCGGCGAAGACGAAGGCGAAAGCAACGAAGACTTCTGCAAGGAAGGGGAGGAAGTGAGGAGAGAGAAAAGGGTAGTGTTTGTAGGGGTAGTTTTGTAAATTCGTGTTGCGTTATGGGTCCATGTAATACCCATAAAAAATATGACATCGGACTTTTATTTCTTTTGTTCTTCTGATTTATATTTTTATTTTGTTTAGGATTTATAACAGTTTTTAGTTGTAATGTTCAGTTGAATGATTATGAGATCAGCTAGAGTTTATGTAATGGCTTTACTTAATACATTTTTATTTCTCTCTTCATTTCATTTTTTAACATAATCACTTGAAACTCTGAAATCGAATATTTTAGGGTTAGGGTTTGCAATTTGGGATATCTGAGTGGTGCTCTGAACGTGTTGCGAAATTGAAGTTCGAAGCAATCGTGTTTTCAACTTTTGTCTTTCAATCTATTTTCAAGCTTAGTTAAAAGTTAACCAAGTCAAGTCTAAGTCAGTTTCAAATTTTAAGATGAGGTATGCCACCATTCTTGATTCGCCAAGTTTTATCTTCATCTTACTGTGAACAATGAAAATTCAAGTACATTGCATGTACTCTCTTTTTATCTTTCGTGTTTTTTTGGCCTTTCTTAGCCAACTGTATTTCATTGAAATAATAAGTTTTCCATTGAAGGTGAAAAAGCAATCGAGAACAACACTAAAAAGCTTGAATAGAGGGTGCTTTGGATACAAAAAAATGGTGAGTACATTCTTAGACATCTTTCATGACAGATATCTATGGAGTCCTAAAATTTTTGTAAGTTATTTCTACGGTTGAATGTAGCTAAATGAGGTATGGAATTCTAACAAAGTACTTTTAGATGAAATGTAACTTTGTTAAATTTGGGAAGTTATGGGATTTGGAGCATTGTTTCGGTAAAAGGTTTATATTCCTTTCTTCTTACTTAAGATATTGACATAACTTTTTTTTAGTTGGGAAGCGTCAAAGTAGAAGAGTTACTCCAAAAGAAAAAAATAATAATAATACTAACAAAGAAGAAAAAATTAGTGAAACAGTAGATCAGGGATAGGATAACCTATCATTTCTCTGTAGATGGTGTTAGAGATAGACATGAGTGGTGATATACGGAACCTCTCAATTTGTTTGTGGCAGTTGGTATGAAAGGTTTCGTTTGTCAATGCAATTATTTTACTGGGAGCATGAATTTGCTTGGAATGTGGATCTCTGCAGATATGAAATGCTGATACATTTATGTTGATTAAAAGTTATAACCTCTCCTGTGTGCTGACATTGTTGTAGCATGGCCTGACTAGGATATGGCAATTGCGATTTGATCCGGGAGTCAACATACGTTCAAAATGATGGGTAAGGTAATACCTAGCAGCTTTGTCTTTTCAAGTTTATGATCATCAAGTAAATAAATGCTTTATACAAAAAAATTATAAATTGAATGTTTTCTAAGTTCTACTGAGACTGATGTGCAGTATTCAATTTTGCTGTGCTGAAGTATGATGACTTCATGCTTGGGATGCAACATGTCGGTATGTGAAGCTTTTGAAAGTGATACACTATTATGCTGTATATTTGTAACTTGACATTCATAAATTGGTTGGTAATTTAAGAGAACCATTATATAAATATGCGATTTCTGATCGTTAACTGAGTTAGGCAAACAGCAAACTTAAGAAGTTGAAGAGGGTTTTTTGGAGGTGTAACATGAAGAAATGAGAAATAGTATTTGTGTCGTATGTAAGTAGGCATATTGAAAATCTTCTTGGCTAATTTTTAACATTTCCTTATCCTTTACTTTGGCTGGTCGACTCCTTATTAGGTAATTGTGTTCAGGAATTGAGTGCCAGATGTAGTAAGCAGTCGAAAACTCTAGGAATAATTATTGGGTTGTAATTGGTGCCTGGCTTCATTTTATAAATGTTAGAAGTTTGCTAATTCAAACACTAGTTACATACTGCCTTTTCCTTGCCAAGTCTTTGCAATCAGCAACTTGACAATATCAAGTATATACTGATAACAAACGTTCCCTCGAGCTGGACCAGCAGGGTGTTAGCTTGATGATTTGTTATGCATCCTTGTTTATTGTCAATGTATTTTTAAGGAAAACTTTTCAGACTCTTAACTAGTTGGTGCATGTAAATTTACATGGCAACATTTATCCTTGGTGTTTCATTTTTGAAATTTTATCGATAGAGTATTAGGTTAACGTGATTTGGTAAGTAATGGTAACTTCTTGCATTTATTGCATCGTTAGTTTAGTATTTGATAAACAACTCGCCTTTCGTTTGGTAGTATCTAGACATTTTCCTTCTTAGAATCAGTTAAAGCTAATTGTACTTACCATGCAACCTTTGTGGTAGACAATTGGATACAGATAGCAGAAATAGGGTATGCCCTCTTAATTAGACATTATTAAACTGAGTTGGAATCTAGTCCATAAAATTTTTTTCTATAATAAGTGTTTTGGGAAAAATTTCATATTATGTTTGTTCAGATCGATCTATTATGACTCGTCCTTCAGTTACATTTATATAAATGGAAGGAATATTGATGATTTTACCTAGAATATTCTCTAATATAAATGGAAGAATCAAGGAGAAGATGCGTCCTAAAATAATGTGAGTGGGGGAGTCGAGTAATGGCATGATTGATCATTGTGTTTGTATGAAGAAATAGCCTTCCCTACTGCTGAATGGCAAAAGAGAATTCATTCTGAGTACTCTTTATGAAGTTGTACAAGCTTTAGATTTGAGTTGAAGTAGATTTTATTAGGATTTGTTAAAATATTAATAAAAGATCGGAATTTGCTTGAGATCCTAGAAGAAGACCTTAAATGCTAAGATCGTTACGTTTACCTGTGCCTGCTTCTAACATGATTAAAACACAATCTTACCAAGATTCCGAGCCCATGATCGAGATTAGATTATGATGTAACATCTTACCCATCTTGCTTGGCAATCCTTTTACCTAGTACCCAGCTAATAAAATCTTTATATTGTTTTCATTATATGATGTTACTGATGAATGCAGATGAAACCACAAACAGTAAAATGGATTTTAAATGAATTTTAAGAGGACCAGTCCGCTTTATACATAGTCAGAATACTTGCAGTGGACTTAAACTATCATAACATGGTCTTCTATCCTGGCACAAGGAAAAGCTTCTGTTTAGGACTTGGACAGCAGGTTTTTTTGTTTTTTGTGTGTGTGTGTGTGATAAATATCATAAACTAATAACAAAGTAGATATGTGGATAGCCTATATAGGTTGTGAACGATGGTTACTGAGAAACGGAGTGCATGTCAAATGATTAGGGCAAAACTTATGGGAAGTCTTTGGTGCTTGTGATGTATTCTATACCTCACAGGAACCATGGTCACATCATTTATATATGATTTGTAAACATTCAACCATGGACCCGTGGAATTTTCATAGAAAGATTGAGGACAGAAATTAGTCTGGAGTATAAATGAAGTTGTCTCTAATATCTGCTGTTTTTGTTGTTAGGATGTAGCATGGAACAACAAAACCTTGTTTGGTATAAGATATGTTGTAAGGCAGAATTTCATAGAATAGTTCATGGCTTTGTTTAAAAGGTTTATTACAGAGGCCTTACTATAGATTTTTAATACAATTACCAAATGTAAGGTGGATCTTCTCTTTCATTTTTATTTGCAATTTCTGAACGTATGGAGTGTCAAATTACAATGTTATGCTCTTGGGGGTATTCTCATAAGGCAATCGATTGAATAAACATACCATATTTTCTTTGGCTTAGTTTCAATTTGTTCCTTTTGTTGAAATCTGAAACCGTAGAGGGGAAAACTTTTAAGGTCAAGAAAACATTCCTTTCTAGTACAAATACTTACGTTAAGAGAATTGTTTTATCTCTCATTTCTATGAAAAACATATATCTACTATCTATGAATGTAAATTTAGTGATATCAGGAATTTGGGGCACATGTGAGGAAATCTTTGTGAGTGTCCCTCATGACGGACATTAGCAGCTGCAAAAGAGATTGCAATGATAGAATTGGTGGAATTATGAGCACAAAAAGAAAGCCAAAAGATTGTAAATGGAGTGGAAACCTCTGTTTGTTTATGTTTCAGTTGAATGTCTACTATAGATAGAGCTCCAGGCATTTCAGTTTGGAATGGTTTGCATATTCTTCTCTTAGAGCCTCTTTATCATCTCCTCTACATGCTTCAGGATTTGTTTGCTACACAACTTTTCTATTTATGAGCCCCTGTGAAAAGTTTCAGTTTCTCTTGCTGTACTATATTTCCAAATACTTCTAGAATTATGGTACTCCTTTCCCTCCCATATGTGTTTTATGCTTCCCCTTCCATGTTTCAAGTAACGCTGTTTTTGAACCATCTGAAATTCCTTTAGTGATGACAACTTTGTTTTCCTTGCCAACTACGACTCCTAAATAGTGAGAGGGATTGTCAAATGTGTGACCCAACTTTGCTAATGGTTAGAATGTAATAACATGTACGGCCATCTTCATTGAACTTGTGATATTCATATTCAAGTGTTAAAGGAGACGTTTCTCATTCGTATAATATTGCTCAACTGAACTTTAAGGAATGCAATCTTGCCTATTTTAGTTTTTTTTTTTTCTTTTTTTTTTTTGACTGATCATATCTGGATCTTCCTCATGTCATATCTTATGGATTTTTAGTTTTAACAGATTTTTATCTACCCTAAAAAGGCAAACTTTTATTCATTGCATTTATGCATAGCATACACCATGTTCGTTCCTATATCTATCCTTGGTTTTCATTTTTTCCTTCCCAACATTCTTATTAATATTTAATTTACTTGACAAGTTAAGAACATCATGAGAAAGTTGGTGAGATTGGTCAATTATCAGTAACCTGATTTAAGATTGGTACCCATTCATATCAGCTTACATGTTGGTCATTTTAGTTTCAAGAATGTAAGAAGAAAGTTCGGCTCTTCGAATTCAAGATTTCAGCCTGAAATGTCAATTTGCATCCCTCTTCGAAGTATTGACTAAACAGAGGCAAAGAAAGAAAATTTGGATATGGTAAGAGAAGAGACGCAGAAGCATGATATGTGAGAGCATGTGGTGCCTACTATTTGTCTGGTTCTATGTTGAATTTCAATGTTGTACCAACATTTTCTCAGGGAGGTGGGATAGAGGACCATGTATATATCAGAAATGCAATTAACAACTGAAGTGATCAGAAACAGTTGGGTTTGACTACAAGGTATATAAATATTTACATGACTAATGCATTTGTTTTTGCTTTTGTTTTATAACTCAAGATAATGAGAACTTATAATAAACTCTCCTGACATTTGAAATTCATGGAGACTGGATTTGTTAACTTGCTTTCAAGTCAGCATCTGTGGAAGGGCATCATGGTTTGATGTTTTACATTTTCGATATAAGTGGAATCATTTGCCAGTAGAGGACATTCATTTTATTGTAGATATTATGATATGTGTTTTTAGATGCTGGTCCAGCCTTTCCATTTTAGTCCTTAAACTCACATATCCAAATTTAGTTTCAGCACTTCTCTCTTTTTAACACACACTTCAACCCACCCCACCCCGAGCTGAAACAAAAATTAAACTAATTCCCAATCCAACCCCCCTCCCAACCCAAATCAAGGGTCGGTGTAAGAGGGATAGATCCTTCAACCTGTTGCTTTGTAACAAGTGGTCTCTTTATAATCTTTGATACTATTTGAAATGCTTCCAATTTATGCAGGCAAAATATTATAAGCTGAGTTTCCTTGGTGTTTTTTCCTATACCTCTCTATTTGGTACAGATACCTATGCTTCTTGAATGTTTCCAATACATATATTAGGTAAATTGGTGAATTTGATTCTCAACCGAATGAACTTGTAACATTTGCATACCTGAAAATACATACAGAAGTTACTGATATAATTTAAAAACTAGGAGAAATTAGTCTTTAGATTTTTTTTTTGTAGTTCTGCTCGTTTCTTGTGAGAAATTTTATTGTCAAGATTGATTCCATATATTTTTGTTACATCTAAAGCACAGTTAAAGATTAGAAATGTTACTGTATGTTCAGGTCTACAACGAGCTTTCCCACTAAAAATAATAGTACATATAAGCTCTGCAATCCTGATATAACTGGTAAATATTCCTTGTTCAAAAATATAGAAAAAGAACTGACACCTTCTTCAGCCTCTACTGTTTGGCTGTGAATCTTAAGAAGGTTTTAACTCCATTTCTCCTGCACTATCTGTGTACCATTTTGATCTTTCAATTTTCTGAATTGAATACTTCAGCTCCTGTTGAATGTTTAACCTTGAAGGTGATAGTACAATATCTTTCCAGATTGATCCAGCTTTGCGAGCTGGATTCGGGTTCTTGTACAGTTCATATATGGATTCAGCATCCTCGTTCAACTTACCTACCATCTTCAAACAGTTTATCTCGTCTGGATCAACCAGCAATGTCTTGTCTCTGTCTTTCCATCCTATCAGCTTAACAATAAAATGTTTTGTCAGTATTTCATATTATGTATACACATTTGCAATATGACAGCAGAGAACTTTTGAGTCATAGGTCTACTCCCAAGTGCTTGTAAGGTCGCTGAGATTGATACCTTGCAACTTGGGAGGTAATTGAACAAACATTTGCAGTTATATAGGCATCCCGAATTAATCTTGAGTTCCAGTTGTTGAACTCTGGAGGTAAGCTATGCTACTTTACACCACCTGATTAAGAGCCTAAGCAAGCCAGAGACAAGTAGGATGTGGTAAGAGAAATAGCTGGTGTACCTTAGGCGGACCTTCAAGAGAATTGGTGCTATATAGCCTGGCATTGTCAACCAGTTGGCAATATGTTAAAAATGCATTTGCAAATCTCTTGTGTGATTTCAATTGTGACTTCACCCTTACAGCTCTTCTGCAAATTATAGCTCTCCTGTAGTCACTCAAAGTGAACACTATAAAACATCAGTATCTCAGCAGAAGAACCTTTTCTGTAGCTATTTAGTTAGAAAAATAAAAACAAAATATCAAGAAGCTCTATTGCCTAGCAACATACCTAATGCCTCTAATAACTGCTAAGTAAGCATCACAAACAACCCCAACGAGTTCTATCCTGTATGGTTTTCTTTTGCTCCCTTGTGCTTGTTCTCTTTCTCCAGTTCTTTCCCAGTAGTTCTCAGTTACAGTACCATCAACAGCCACCTTATACCCAGGTCCCATTCGATAACGATGGCGGTGGACATTTCTGGCCATTGTTATTGTCTGCACCACAAATGGTACCCACGAGAGAGTGCCATCCATTATCACATCCCGACCTTCATTGAGTGCTGTTACTAGGAGGGATGATGCCGCGTCTGTTGATGATTGGTGCACCTATTTGAATAATTTTTGTTGGATCAAACTATTTGAATTGTATAATTTAATATAGTTAAGTTTGATGATACTTTGTGAACAAAATATACTATTTTTATATTATATCTCCTTACTACATAACAGGAATAGAAATTTCAGTAAGCAAACCGATTTAGGAATGCTCTGGCTACGAGTAAAAGGTGATAAGGAGAGGGAATTCTTGAAGAACCATCTATGGCAGCTGTGAAGTCACTGACCAGAGAATGACAGAAGAAATGACTTCAAATGAATAGCTCATGAAGGAATTATGGAGGCTTTTCTCAATTTGAAGCAGCAAAAGCACTTGGGTCAGATGCTATGTCAGGTATTCTTGCCCAGAATTTGGCATCTTATACTTTTGGTGTCTGAATGGCAGCTGAAAAATTTCGCTACTCTGGCTTAAGCTTCTATTTCTTGTGATTTAAACTGACTAGATATGTGTAAGTGCATGCTGATGCAAATATATTAAACAAGCAGATGACTTGCCATCAAAATTTCAGGCCAGAATTTGTCCTAATTTTGGCCATTCAGCCTATACTTTAAAATGCAGTATTTAGCGAAATTTGTTTTATTTCAACAAGTTTGAATAATGCACTTCTTACCATGGGCAGGGTTACTTGTTCCTTGATAAAAATGTGATGCACAGAATCCTGGAGAAAACTTTGTTTAGATTTTTTTCTTATTAAACTGTCTCCCGGAGAAGGAAAATAATAGTAATAAGAGGAAATTTTTCTAGATATTAGCGTGTTTTTAAAAAGACAAGCAATTTTATATGACACTATTTTCTCATTGTCAAAATTAAAATGTGTAAAAATAATATTGAATACTTCCTAAAATTTGTTTGAATTGATTATGAAAGCATAGGGTAATATCAGAAAAAAAAATTGCAGGCAAGGAATATGAAACAGAGGGCAGTAGTCTCATTTATCTTCTAAGTGAAAGCAAATCAATGTTCTCAATGCTCGTAAATGTGACCAGGAAAGATGGATGAGCATGTATCTGATATCTGGTATTTATAATGGCAAATGTCTTGCAATTTGAATCACATGCCCTTTGTTTTCAAGTGAATTATTGTGTCCCTGGTGGTGTATTGGGCACACCAAAGACGTTCCTTTCCTAGTATATGGACAAAACATTTAAACTTTAAAAATTTCTTTTTGATTAATTTGTACCTAAGTACCCTCTAATCTAGGAAAGCAACTCTTTATATGTTGATTGCATAGTGTCCATTCTGTTGGCAATATAATTGGCATGCTCATGTAGGAAGATATTTGTTTGTATAGAATTACTTACTAGTAGAAGTCGGTTGAGGAAACAAACTTCTCAATTTTTTTTCTTTGATGTTATATAAACATGAAGTGTTTTGCTTGTGAGTGTAGGGAGCAAGAGTCAGAGAGAGTGATCTCACCAATTCGGCAGTCTGAAGCATGTCGACATGATGACCTCTGGAGCTAAGAGCTCTGTAGATTACATCTGATTCTTTGAAAGCATCTGCCTCAATCACCACTGCATTCGCTGCTGCGCCTGCCCAGAATGGTCTGTCATTTTTCACCAAAACAACCTATGTTAGAGTTGCATCGTCTATACTGCCACGACTTTCCATGAATTCTTCGGGCGAAACTCTCAAACTCAAACTTTTAAGAAAATTAGTGGATTCTTTTTTTTCCACTTTTCCTAATTGTAAACAGATTCTGAAACTAACCTCAATCTTGCTAGGAACAACGAGAAGGGTACTGAAAATACAAGCTTTTGTTTTTTTTTGTACCACCAGTTTTTGAGTTGATCAATACTTACTCTTTGAGAATGTCTTTGAGCACAGTGCTCTTCCCAGCTCCCATACCGCCGCCCATGAAAAGGAGTACTGGACTTCTATCGCGGTGGTCCACAGGAGCCATGACCTCTGTACACTGTGAGTCATCATTTGATGCAATTCCCATTGCCTTCATTTCCTCCACTAATGTAGTGAATACTCTAGCCACCTTTAAATTTTTTGTTAGCCTCTCAAATCTTTGTTCCCTGCAACTCAAACGAAATACAGAAGAATTTCACAAATGCTCAAGAACACTATAGTCCTAGGACCTGGATTAAGTGAGATTCAGCTATTATAGTTTGAGGATAGTATTAATGCAGATTCGTTTCAATGAAATTCATGCTTTTTTTTTTTTTTTTTTGGGTACTTTGAAATGAGGTTCATGGCACTAGAACTTTATAATAGTGATTTGATAATAAGTCTTTCATGTTTTGTCCATGTTAATATTTTGATCTATCAGGAATGACATCACTTGTAGATTACACGTAAGTTAGCATTTAAATGAAAACACTTTGGGCGATGTTGAAGACTAATAAATCAAAGGGATATATATGTTTTTTTGAGCCCTACTATTTTCTTCTTCACCACCCATCTCCTAATTTAAGTAAATAATGAAGACTAGGCCTGGCCTGGGTATATTTTATGCCTTAGCCGGGTTGTTTTTAATTATATCCCAAGCTTTTTTTTTTTTTTCGATGGAAAGTGTGTTAAAAGACAAATTTGCCTCTCATCTCATGAGTCATAAATTTTTTAACAGTGTCAACTTTAAGGGTGGTATCTAAACAATTTCAAAATATGTGGCGTAGTTCTAGAATTTTCAAAACCTCAGGGGTGGTTGTGTAATTAACAAATTTTTTTTTTTTCCATTTAATGTTCTTGGAAACGGCTTAAAAGTACAAATTCTATAACTGATCCAATGAAAAAAGTATTTACCTAGTTGCTGCCATAACTATGTTCTTGAGCTTCCTTTTGGGCTCGGCATCAGAACTCAACACCTGAAATTAGAAAGATATAAATACTTTGATTAATCATGATATTTCATTTTATTAACTATAAGTATTATTAGATCTTCTTAATTACAGTTACCTGACTAATCATAAGATCAGCATGGCTCCAATGGAATGCAAAATAGCTAAGAGTGCATCTCTCGAACTCCTCAACTAGCTTTATAAATAGAGAGTCTGCTCCAGGCTCATTAGAAAAAAATGTATATATATCATCTTCACTCCCTTCTGATTTTCTTATATATTCTGCTGCTAATTTGCACAAACTTGGACATTGTTTCCTATCTGCAAATCCCATTTGCCTTGCTGCATTTTCATCAACATGTATTAAGAAACATAAAAAAAATATATATTTAAGTAATTTATTTATTTTTTAGAATCCAAAGCCCCCCTTGCATTTGCCATCTTCCAAGCTTTGAAAAATAGGAAACAATGACCTTTGACCATACAGGTGCCAATAAGGAAGTCAAATCCTAGACTTTATGAGAGCTGCCTAACCATTTGGCCAAACTCTCATGGATATATCATAAAAAATAATTAATCCTAATTAATTTAATAATAATTTACCACCTGATGAGAATTCAGAAATGAGAAATGTTAATATTTACCTACATAATGGGGGAACCTTTCTAGCTTCTCAACATGACCAGAGTGTGAGGATCTTTTCCTTGGAATTATTTTCTGATCCCTTAGCCTTCGAATCCGAATATGCATCGCCGCCGCAATGATCAAGCCCAAGGAGGAGGCTACAATTACTTGTGTGAATGTAGGTTTGGTGTTAGTATCTGAAGTTCAAAATTCTCAAGATTAACTGAATGTTTTAATGAAGAAGTATATAATTAAAAGCAAAAATGGCAATAAAAAGAAAAAGGGTGAGCGGTTTGATGCTTACCTTTCTGCATATCTCAGAATAAAATTCCAGGAAAGAAAATATGTTTCTATCTATCTATCTGATTTGATGTTTGAGAAATTGAGAAGGAAACTTAATTGCCATTGCTGTGCTATTGAAGCTGCATGTTAATCGTTATATTTGTTTAAAAATGACAGGTGGAATCATGGATTTCCAAAAGTATAAAAGATTGACCACGCTGTGACACTTGTAATTAGATTATTCATGGCTTCTGTCATTGTAGAAGTGTTTAAAACAAATCTACGTGTAAATTCATAATTCTAATAAGTTTGTAAATCAAGCTATATCTTATAAAAACTCATGTCATATAAAGTGTAATTAATTTGCTTTTAAATTTTATTATTGTACGTATTTATGATCAATAAAGCATGGTTGAATTATCACTGTACCGATGGAGTGGGTGGTGTCCGAAAGCAGACACTTTGGATAGGATAATTCGGGTCGAATAAAGTTTCCAAAAACTGACTTGAGTTTGGTTGGGCTACCCGTTTAGTTTCCCGGTTCTTATCTTCAATTTTTCAAAATCAATGTTATTCTTCAGCTCTAAAAGGTGGGTAACCAATCTACGATGATTTTATATGGACATTCCTAAGCTTCAGTTAAAGAAACAAAGAGATTTATAGGTTTCAGAAAGGAATACTTACATCTTTGTAGTTTTAGAATGAAACACTTATACCCTTATAGTTGACAGACACTGTCAAAAATTAATTTGAACATAAAATCTTGGTACAATGGCTAAAATTCCCTTATTTTGTGTTTTCTCCTACAATAAAAAGGAACTAATATTTGACATTTGTCACATAATCAAAATATTAATTATGTTAAATGATTTAAAATGATTAAACTTTGACAATTCGATAAAACATTTAGGAAATAAAAACAATAATACTATGTTTACTCACCATTTTACTAACTATCTTACTATCATGTATAAATATAAAGCATAGTATGGGTACCATATGCATAGCACGGGTACCATATGTAATTTTAACAAAAGATAGCAAGATGGTTAGTAAGATAATGAGTAAACATAACATTACTCAATAAAAAAACTTGTTTTTTATTTTTATTTTGTTATATATTTTATTATTATAATAGTATCTTTTTATAAACATCATTCAATTAAAAGAATGTAAGCGTCCGTTTGGTTCACTATTTTTACACTTTTTAGAATAGTTTTTTGAAAAAAAATTGAGTTAAGTTGTATTTGAATCTTTTGGATTGATATGTGAAACAAAGAGCAATTTTACTGTTTACTTTTATTGGGAAAACTAGAATAATATTTTAAAGAGTGAACCAAATGGACCCTAAGTATTTCATTCTGAAACTTGTGGATCCCCTTCTTTTTTCACTAAACCTCAGGAGTGTCTATTAAGTTACAAATAAGGCTTTATCTTCAATATTCTTTTAAGATTTAACTTTGGAATTATCCTTTTCATGCTCCCACAAGCGAAATAGAGTGAAGTATAGAATAAACATGTCTTTGAGAAATTAAAAATGTTATCAAGTACATTCAAAATGTTGTTTGCTGCTCCTTTATTAAAATGTCAACTATATGGTCGCATGTAGAAACACGTTGAACCTGTAAGTGTCTCTATAAAACTCTTTCTTGAATACACTAAAATCAATTTCAACATGCTTCATTGGAATAAAGAATTGGATTCTGTAGACGGTAAAAATCTATAGTTTCGGAATAAGGTCTGATCTTGTGAGGTTGAGGCTATTGACAATCTGTTGAACCTGCACATAAAGAACACAAGCCTGAAGTTTACGTAAAACACCGATGTGGTGTCTGTCATGAGCACTCCAACGCTCAAGTCAATAAGGCTGAATGAGGCTATTTAGTAAGGGCTAAGGGAAGGAAGGGTTACCAGAAGTTTAGTCGGAGACTAGAACTATAACATAGGTGTATAACTCTTGAGAGACAGAGCTTAGGAGTAAGTAGATGGTATTGAGATTGAATGCCTAATGAGAGGCAAGACCTCTCTTTTTATAGTGGTCATAAGATCTTCGAATCCTAGTAGGACTTGGAATCTGTATTGACAGAGTTCTAGTTAATAGGAAAGATCCTGATTCACTTGCCTTAGTAGGATTAAGATCCTAATTCATATAAGATACAAGATCTTGGGTGAATTAGGATAAAACCTAAATAGAAAGTAAGTGTATTAGGGCTTTTAGTGGGATTCTTACCCCTTAGACGTCATCATGGAACAATGGGCCTAACCCTAGGTGGGCTAATGGTAATGCCCAATATAGAGAGAAGTTGGGCTTAGGCCATGGATCTGGCCCATGACGTGAACCTTAATGTGGGTCCAACCTCAATTAGGCCACAACCTTGGGTCCATACAACAAAAGCCACTTGCATGGGCTCGACAAGGCTCAAGACAATTTTGGCCCATACAGTTAGCCCCCCACTCTCTAAGTTAAGAAGTTCTTAGCTTTGAGAGTAAACAATCCAACTGGAGGTTAACCAGGCTGGATGATAGTGTCCTGGGTCGAGCGAGTGTACACTCGGCTGAGTGAAGGTGTTTTGTTATGAGGAATGATGCAAAGTGCCTCTACCGTAGATGTCCCCACTCGATTAGCTAAGCCGAGTAGGAAGATGCATGGTGCATCCTTTGTAGAGGCCCCACTCGGCCGATCGAGTTGAGTAGGAGGATGTGAGGTACATTCTTTGTAGATGTCCCCACTCGACTGATCGAGCTAAGTGGGAGGATGTCAGGTGCATCATTTGTAATTGTTCTCGTTTGATTGATCGAGCTGAGTGGGAGGATGCGAGATGCGCCCCTGGGTAGATGTTTCCACTTGGCTAATTGGGTTGGATGCAAGCGTAGCTTGCTTTCGTGAGCTGTGAATGGAGAATTTCAACATTCCCAAAACTAACCCACGAGTCAGCTTAACTAGGCGAGTCGATTTTTGTCTAAGTGAAAGTCGGTGATGTCAGGAGAATGTGACGCATGTAAGGTAGGGTTTCGCAGATTTTGAGAGATAAATGAGAGATTGCAACTCCCGAGGTGAGCTTATCGCAAGACATGTGTAGGGCTAGGATTTTGTCTCCCTTTTGAGCGGGAATTTGAAGTGTCACGACCATTTGGCTGCTGCCACGTGTGAGCCCTGGCAGGTTGGGTGAGTAGA